TAGCCAACATTGAACGAAAAATGAGCTAAATGGATTAAAATATAACTTAATCTCTAAAACGCCACGCTTTGCAAAGATGACTACAGAAGTGAATGAGTGAAATATTCGTCGGATTAAGCTATTTTGCACACTCAATAGGCAATGAATATGCATATAAATGAGTAGTGGGAAAACTGTTCGTAGGCCTCATTCACTTATTCATCTCGCTACTTAAATTCCCACACCTCTTTTATTTTTATTACATCGCCTAGACCCAACAAGACTTCCTCTACACCGGCTCCGCCAGACGACAGCCTCAGTCGACTTGGCAACCAGTTACGACATCAAAGGAGTTTCCTGGCGACGTGTTCAGTCGGGCATATCTTGCCGCCGAACAGATGCGAAGACACCGAACAGAGATGGCCTCTATACTGCGGTCTCGTGAAATAGAACAAATCAGTCGTCAACTCGTGGATACCTACCGGGCAGATGGGGTGCCGAGTGCTTCCCAACAGGATGAACTGAGTCCACAGGACATCTCAGGTGAATGTGGTGGTCTCTGATGGGATTTTTTAGAAGAAATAAAGCCTTGCAAACAGGATTAAGAAGTGGAAAAAATAAAAAATACAGACTTACTTATGGACATATTGGCAGCCTTGGAAACAGCTCTGGGATAGAACAGATGGCCAAGATAGCGCTTGTAACCTTAACTATTCCCAGCGGGTTTAATTCGATTAAAGCCGACGTAATCCACATGTTTATTTAGTTAGCTTTGATGTGTCTAGCCCTATTACCGTACATTATGACAAGCTATCATCGGCCCTAGCAACAGAGCGTACTTGGTTCGAGACAGGATTTCATGATGTTGCAGTTTATGGATCAATTGTGACCAAAATGCGGACAATTAGCATCTTCATAGCAAATGCCATACGCGATGAAAGAATCATCCTGGATTTCCGAAGTTCGATTGATCTCAGAGATAAGGTATTGGGGGTTGCTAGAAGAAAAATGGTTTTTGAAGAACCTCTCCGTTTATGAATGTTGGGTTTGCAACCAGTTATAAAAAAAGTGAGTGATGTTGAGCATCGTTGGCCGATCTTACTGGGAGGTGGCGGCGGACTCCTAGCCTGCTGTCCCTCGGCTTTAGTCGTACTTTGTGATTGATACGATTCTCGAAAATGTGCTAAAACCTAGTCTTTCATGTCGCTTGGGGGACAGTTTCAAGACTGGCTACCAATGTTACAACTGATTCATGTTAACACATAGAAAATCCACCCGTTTATTCCTACATGCTGCATAAATGCCAATGTAAACCAATGCATTTTTATGATTTATTTAGTATCATACGTCATTAAAGGAACAGATATTTGCGTGCGTATGTGTGTGTGTGTGTACGTATGGACACGAAACTGGAAGTGATAGCTTTACGTAGATATAGCAAAATGTACAAGATGCCTTTGGTAATCAAGCTTTAATGACCAACTTTCAAGACCCTTCTTCTGAATTCATTATGCGGACACTTGTCTGGCCAACTTAATGACTCTATTGTGTGAACTCAGACGCATTGAAATCGTGATTACAATTGGAAGTAAATATGACAAATGACATCATCTAACCAAATCATTTGATACCTCAAATTTCGAATATATTTAGAGTAGTTAAGGATAGGCCTTCGAGTCACCTCAGCTCGTTATTTATACAAATGAAGTCTGTCTAATGTCATGATAGCTGAAAGCTCAGCTGACATCTCTCGGTGACAGTGCTGTAAGAAAGGTTTTATGTAAAGCCAAAAGACTGCTGCTTAGATTGGCCTACAAGGATGTCTTCATCACACAATTCCATTTTAAATGAAGGTGAAATCAGCGTTTAAATATGCGGAGATACACAAATCGGTCATTATTTGAAGTTAGATCCGAGGCAGACTTGATTCTCACATTTTTTGTTAAATACAATAATAGAGCTGTAGATAA